AAGAATTGAATATTTCCTGTATTCAAGGTCTCATAACATTCAGGCAGCACTTCTCAAACTATCAGCATCCACGAGCCAGTTCAAGCCAATGAAAATCATCAATTTCATCATAACTTTTAGTAATAAGACATCATATTCTTTAAAAAGTTTTTAATTGTGGAGATATGAACAAACTTACAAGAAAAGAATAGTATAACAAACCTTCATGTACTCAGCACTCAACTTTAACAATAATTGACTCATGGCCAGTCTTGTTTCAACACTACTCCCATCCACTTCCTCTCTCCCACGTTATCCTAAAACAGATCCCAGATACTGTATCATTCCACCCATAAATATTTCAGCAAATGCCTCTAAAAATATGAACCCTTTCTTTCAACATTACAATACCATCATCACAAAAAGTATTCGTAAGAATTCCTAAATATCATCCAATATCAAAATATATCAAATTTCCAATTGTCTCAAAAATATTTCAAATTTTTTGTTGGAATCAGGCTCCAAATAAAGATAGATAGAACATTATTTTAAATAGCACTAATTGTTCGTGCATTTGTAACAAGACACCGTTTGTGATCTCTCCCCAAGGTGTCTGTCCTGTTTGATGATGGTTCAAGTTCCACACTCCATCAGTTTCCTTCCTTATCTTTCATTTTTACTAAGTTTCAACAAACACTCCCAACTCACAGATGTCACCAGTGGGAACAGTATCAAATTTCTTATGTCTTTTCCCAAGAGCCATGGATTCAGAAAAGAGCGATTTGTCATCAAAAAATTGGAAAACCTCCATCAGGTTCCAAATCAATTACAACACACATTCAAAATCTAGACAGTGGTGCACACCTGTAATCCCAGCACTATAGGAAGCTGAGGCAGGATAATGATAAGTTCAAGTCTGGATTGGACAGTGTAGACCCTCTCTCAAAATAAAAAATAAAAAGGGTTAGGGTTGTAGCTCAGTGTGAAGGCCTTGGGTCCAATCCCCAGCATTTCTTTCCTCCCCAGTCCTAGATTTCTTTCCTCTCTTACAATAAAGACACTTACCAAATATTAGGAAAGAGTCAAACTCCACTCAAAGCATATTGGATTTTAGTGTGGATTTAAGAAGAAAATCTGACTTCTCAAATTCAGCTAGTTTTTCCTTGTAAGGGTTGAGTTTATCTTTTGGATCCTAGAGGCCAATGCCAGAATTGACCAGGCATCAGAGACAAATCACCAGTAGACACGCTACGATGGGCAAAGTCATTCAAGTCATTCAAGTTGCTGAAAGGTGATCTGATACCAGTGGGAAGCAGAGGGTTGGGGTCAGTGTGACAAAGCACAGGCAGGAGGACACTGGAAGTGTCCGAGCAGGTGGGACGCTCCTGAAGTCAGGCTAGAGCAGGCTCAAGTAGAAGAGGAAGAGGTTAATATCAGAGATGAGGAGCAGACACTTGGGGCTGAATGAGTGTGTGCAGGGGTGCAAAGATGAAGAGGGAGGAGCCTGCAATGATATTCATGTTCCTGACTCTAGTGTGGGATGCCGTAGAAAAGTAGCTCTATACACACACTGCTATTGTTTAAGCATTATTTGTGCCCCAGTGTTTCAGGCACTGGGACCTTGGTCTTCAGGGTAGTGATATTGGAAGACAGGACCTTTAAGGGATGAGGCTTAGTGAGATGTCTTTTGGCCTGGTGGCATGACCGTGGGAGGGACTGAGCAACCCCAGTCACTGTCTATTTCTTGCTTCCTGTTTATGTGATGTGATCTCTTCTTTCTCATGTGTTCCTGCTGTGACGTGACACAGCCAAGAGGTCCTTTAGCAGAGCTGAAGCAATGCCAGTGCAATGCCCTTAAATCTCCAGGACAGTGATCTAAAGAAATCTCTTCTGTTTATAAAATTAGCTTGCCTCAGGTATTCTATTAAAGTAATGAAAATTGGACTAACATACACACACATACACACTGAAGCCTCTCTCAAATTGTCCAGAGCCCAAGGAAAGCTGGTTGATCTGGCAATAGGAAATGTATCCTACGTGAGATGTTCTCTTTGTAGTTAGAGCATAGGTCCTCAACACTGGCTATAAACTGAAAGCATTAAAAGAGTATAAATATACTATGCCCAGGCTCAGCCCAACCAAATCAGAATCTCTGAGTTTTTGTTTTTGTTTTTTTGGTTCTTTGGCTTTTGGAGACCGGGTCTATGTATTCCAGGGTGGCCTTGAACTCATTATGTAGCCCAGGCTATCCTTAAACTTGCAGTGATCTTTCTGCCTCTGCCTCCCAACGGCTGGAATTATAGGTGTGTGCCACCAAGCTCCAGTGAGTTTGTTTGTTTTTGAGGCACAGTCTTGCTATGTAGTGTAGTTCAGGCTGGTCTTGAACTCACTAGATAGCCCAGGCTGGCCTCAAACTTGCAATGATCCTCCTTCCTTGGCCTCCTAAGAGCTGGGATTATAGGCCTGTGCCACCACACCTGGCTTGAAAAATGAATATAGGTGAGTCTCTATAATCAGCATATGAAATTGCCATCATACCAAAATGTAGTAGCTGACTTGTGCACGTGTGTCTATTTATGACAGCATGTATGTGTGTGGTGGGGGAGGTAGGGAGCATTGCACTCAGGGCCTGCACACTGAGCTACATCGTCAGCCCTTTTTTATTTTTATTGAGACAGCATCTCAGTAAGTTGCTAGTTGCTCAGGCTGGCCTCAGACTTTCAGTCCTGCCTCAGCCACCCGGGGTACTGGGATTACAGGCATTCGCTATCATGCCTGGCTAGAAGATAGATTTTTTTTTTGTCATTCAGAGTTTTAATGAAATAAAAATGGAGGAACTATACGTTTCAAGTTTGCTTCATGTTCATAATTAATTTGTTACTAACTAAAACCACTTTCCCTTGGTTTCTTTCTTTCTTTTTCCCCCACACAGGGTCCGGCTGTGTAGTTCTTGCCTGGAGCATAGGGAGCAAGGTGTCCAGCCCACGAGCTTGCCTTCCGCCTAGGGAAGGGAGCGGCCCTCCCACTGCTGTGTGCACCACACTCACACTGGGATGCCTGTCAGACAGATCCTGGCCCCACTCCCTGGGTCAGTCAGAAGTCCCAGGTGTAGCCCAGCAGCCTGTGTTAGCATATCCCTGGTGACTCTGAGAGTTCACAGAACGCATGCCCAGAATCTCTGAGAGGGCTGTGGAAGCAGGAGCCTGATGGCTGTCCCTGAAGGGCACGTGCAAGGCACGGCTTCTCTTAATCTCTGAATAGGCAGGTCTGAGGTGGAACCCAGCGTCAGTGTTGGCAATGCCCATCTTGGGGGTCTTTGTGGGAAAATGTGGCCCTCCTCCAAGTTTCCTCCACATAATGAAAGATGGAAGTGAAGCAGGAAGGGACCTTGGCTCATTTTCTTCTTGTTTCTACTGAAAGGGAAGCTGGGGGTTTTCCTAGGATGCAAGTTGGCAGGAAGTGCAGGGGCCAGGATGGAGCCGAGCAGCAGCCTCTGGTCTTTCAGAGAACTTCAGTCTCACCAGCAGTAAACCTCACAGTATTCCGTGTTAGAAATGCAGGTTCTCAGGCCTAGCTCCAAACCACCTACTGCATTACACACTTGGGAACAGGCACCTAATCTGTGACAAGCCCTCAGGTGACCCTGATGCTCAGTCAGGTTTGAGAACCCTGGCACCAGAGGCTCCAGTGCCTCGGTGACTGCAGGCTTAGGAAAGCTTCCCCCATCTCCCTAGCCACCACCCCAGGTTCCTTCCGTGGGAAAAGAAGAAACTACACAATGCCCTCCTGCTGTCATGACCTGTGGTTAGGAAGACGCTGCTGCACTTGGAGAAGGGACCCTAGGTTTTGGGAAGCCGCCGTCAGCCAGCAGGCTGCTTTCCCAGCTGACTTGGCTTTGTTTTTTCTTAAAGCCTGGGGAGGGCTGCAGGAGAGACACTGGTTCAGAGGCTTGTCTATGGTCAGTTGATTCCATTGCTTCTGGACCCGTGATGAGGCAGAACAGCATGGCGGGAGCAGATGGTAGAGCGAAGTAGCTCACCTTGGCAGACAAGAGGCAGAGAAAGAAGAGAGGGGAAGAGAAGACAGACACAGACCGACAGGAAGAGCCAAGGCAAGATACAGTCCCCAAGGGCCTGCTCCTATGACCTGATCCCTTCAACCAGGCCTCACCTCCTGAGTTTCCCTCACCTTCCAATAACGACATCAGGTTATGAATCTACCAATGGATTAGTTTACTGGTGGTTAGAGCCCTCATGGTCCAAAACAGGCCGTATTGGAAAGTGGGCTAGTCACTTTCCTGTCACTGGGCCAAAATCCCTGACAGTGCGAATGAAAGGAGGTGAGTTTTATTTTGGCTCCTGGTTTTCAGAGGATTCTGTCTGTGTTTCCTTGGCTCCAACGAAGACACAGCCTAGTGGAAGGGCATGGCAGAGGAATGCTGCTTACCTCATGGCAGCCAGGAAGCAGTGTGAGAAGGGCGGAGGCAGGTAGAGAGATGCAAGCTCTAAAGGCACACAAAGGACAGCGACTGTCCCTCCAACCAGGCCCCACCTCCTCACAGCGTATGAACTAACTCCTCAAGGGATCACGATTCAATCACCTTTCAAAGGCCCCATCACTGAATACACAAGAACTGGGGGGACATTTTAGATCTCAACCATGTCAGGGGCCACACTTCCAGTACATGAGATACTTCATATTTTAACCGTAATAATTCTGTACCAACACGAGACCCCTTTTCAGACAGAGTGCCAGTGTGGGCTCCCACATTTCCAAAGATGGGGACAGGCTGAGGCACAGGATGAGTTGCTCAGCTCTTTCTTCTCCGTTCCCAATTTGGACCTCTTCCAAGCATTCTGATCCAAGGGAAAGACTAACCCACTCTTGAAAATAGCCACTGGGATCAAGAATAATCCAGACCTGTAGGAATTCATGGAAGTCTTTAAATTTTAGACAAGAGTTCACAAGTTGGAAATGAAAATTTGGGGACTTTCTCGGGTTGAATAAAAAGCACAATGTTATTGTATTTTCTTGTCAAACAATTTTATTTGCGGCAATAACTGAAGTATAATTTAATTCAACAGGAAATATCACACTTGGAGGAAAAACACAGAAAAAACTCAAGTTAAAGCCAAACATTCTTTCCAAGGCACAGCACTGACATTTTCAGATTGACAGCAGAATGAGTTTGTTTCCATGAAACAAAATCATGAGTCCAAAGTCTGCCTTTGAAGCAGTTTCCACTTTGTCTCCATTCCTCAGGCTCAGGGAACAATGCTGGTGGCCTTCCTGAGGGCCAGGTAGCCAGTGATGACGTCGGAGGGCAGCCTCCGAATATAGGAAAACTCTTCGATGGTGCTGAACCGCAGCTTGCTCTGTGGGTCTGTGTAGTTCGCCTGCGTCAGAAACAGGCACAGGGAGCGACAGAAACTTGTTATTGGTAGTGATATTTTAATTGAATCACAAGTGTAAAATTTTTCTTCTATTTTACTGGAAGTGAAATATGTTCATTACGTTTTACTGTCACCACAAACACTAAATTGCTCACTTTGGCAAAGATTTGCTAAATTTCTAAGACTTGAGAAATACTTCAGGGTACAGACTGGAGGAAGAACCACATCAGACTCAAGGACTCTTCTTTCTGGTGCCTCAACAGCTGCCGGCACCAAGTCCAAGAAGGAATTCATGATGGTCATCCCTGCCTGCCTTCGGACTCCCACCCGCCTCCAACAAACAGTCCAGGCTGTGTTCCTCCGGGCAGCAGATGCCCCAGTGCATGCTGGGCATCCCCCTGCTGCAGCCCATCTACCCTCATGCACTCCTCTCCAGGTCATGCATGCTTTGTCTCTTCCACAGCTCCCGGGTCAGCCTGCATTACACTGGAAGCGCCTGCCATTCTGTAACTGCAGTCAGGGTCATTTTGCCACTCATAATACTGATCATGTCATTCCTCAGCATGAAACTTCTCCACATGGCTCCTCTCTGCTTGTGGGACAAAATCCCAAGTCCTCAGTGTGGTTCCTTAAGCCCTGGACTTCTTTCCTTCTTAGCCACACATTCCCACTCTCCAGTTCTGATCACCTTGGCCTTTAAGTCATTCCTTCCTGCCAGGCCCATCCACATTCTCCTTGGTGGGGACCTCAACTCTCAGTGTTCAGCAATTACTTGCTCCTCTATCAGACCTGAGCCTGAAAGCCACACCTTCAGAGAAGCCTTATCTGTGCAATCACTGGGGTCAGGATCCACCCTCCACTCCTGCAGCACCACCTCCTGTGTACTGCTCATCTTTGTTGTTCTGAAAGTCAGTGACTCTAAATTTTAGGCTATGAATCCCCACAAGACAGGGCTGTGCTTTCGTCACCACTGTTCAGCAGCCGCTAGGTCACTGTACAGTGCACAGGAGCCTTCAGGCAAGCATTCCTGCAACAAATGAATGCAAGAATGCACGCATGAACAAATGAAGAGATGGTCAAGACCACCACAGAGAAGAGAATTTGTTTCCCAGACATATCAAAATTCTCTTTTGGTCTCTTGTTTTTTCCATATGTGAAATAGAAAAAAAAAAAAAATTGACCTACTCTGTATCTCAAAGCACATGACATCTGTAGAATTTGAAAAAAAAAAAAAAACAAAACAAAAAACACACACCAGTGAGTAATTTTAAACTCCTTTTAAAAAATTATAAAAGACACCATTAAAGTCTAGACAGATAATGTTCAATTACTCAAGTGTGGCTTGTCCGTTCCACTGCTGTCATCTATGTGCACCTCGATTCTCAGTAATTCTGTGGTTTGTTGAAAGAGAAGAGGCAACAAGCCGGAGAGAACTGAGTCATAGGTTTCTCATGCTCTTAAAAGTTTCTATCCTGCTGCTGGGCATCTCCCAAACGTATTCAGGAAAATGGGACTTATTCCTAAAAGGCTAAGATTATTTAGAGCTCACCATAAAATAAAACTTTGATCCTTTGGCTTGGTCTGGGTATTACTTTTCTGTACCACATTTCCTTTAATCTGTCATTAAAGATAAGGGAAGGCTTAATTAAGAAAATCAGTGACACGGCTCTTCTGAGGGAGGACACAGGCTGTGAGGCAGCTGGAATAACTAAGCGGCAGGGAAGCTGCCCGGAAGTTTCGAGCTGGGTACGGGCATCGCATCTGGCTCGGGTAATCTGGACCGCATATATGAACCAGCTGCCGCCTGGCCGTGCTCTGTGGCTGCCTCACTCCCACCACTGAACTGTGCTGAGCCGGCCAGCCCAAGTCCAGATCTCACTGCCAAGAGGCTGCTGAATAAACAGTGCGGGATACTGAGATCCTGTAGCACCAAAAAAAATCCAAAGACTGGAACCAATTGGACCTGACCCAGGAGCCAGCGCCCAGGATTTTGAACAGAAGGGTGCCACATATTATTCTGGAGTTGAAGAAATAAAAACCCTAATTCTACAATCCCTACTGTCTTCTGGATTCTGTCACTTAAACCTAGATGAAACAAAGGTCACCTCCCTACAGGGCAATCAGCAAATAGCTTTAGGCCTCGTTGCTGCAGGGTTCACAGTTCCCACTTCACCTAGAGCCCTAACACTTTCCATAGAAAGCTGGGCTTTACTTCTTAACTACATAACTTTAAATGGTATGAGTAACAAATGAATCATGTTCACCTCTAAAAATGTTTGCAACATTACAAATAATTTGAAAGTCTCCTTTTGTCACTACCTTGCACCTAAAAGACCTTTGCTTGGTTCTGAGGAAACCACTATTATGTGGGCAACCTTCTAGACTTTTAAAATTTAAATCCTCACACATATAAACACCACAGAGAAATTACACAAGCTAACTGCTCTGGCAGAGAGAGAGAGAGAGAGAGAGAGAGAGAGAGAATGGGTGTGTGTGTGTGTGTGTGTGTGTGTGTGTGTGTGTAATGGTACCACACTGTTTATACTGCATTGCATCTTTCTGTCAACAACATATCTTAGAACTTTATCCAAGTTGTTAATTGTGCATTTAGCTCAGAGAATAGTATGAAAATATCCCCAGCAATAGACCTTTACATTGTTTTGAACATTTTGCTACTATAGCATCTCACAAGTATCTCTGTGTGAAGTTCATTCTGCACTCTATGTTTTTTTCAGGGGAGAGAGGGAGACAGATCTCATCATGCAGTTCAGGCCAGCCTTGAAATCACTATGTAACTCAGGCTGGCCTCAAACTTGTGATGATCCTCCTGGTGGAGTTCTTTGTATGTTCAGAATTTAATTCTCACACTCAGTAGGGCAAGAGGTTTTAGGTAATGTGTACCACGGCAAGCCCCCTGCTGACAGCATAAAGAGGCCTGCAATAGTGTCTTTCAACACTAATTCACTTCCTAACAAGTGAAAACCAAGGCACCAGCAGACTGTAATGGAGAGGATGAAGCCAGCATTTGATGGGCTAGGCTCCATATCTGCCCATAAATCAAAGCTCAAAACAACACACAGAGAGATTTCCACTTTGGGTCATAACAAAACAGCAGATGCCAGACTAGTTTTCCTGCCATAAACAAAACAACTATTAAAATGGGTCAAATACATGAGGCAACTATTTTCAGGCAATCTACAAGCGACAGCACAAGTGCAATGAGTATGAAAAGAGACATTTACAAAATAGAGCTGGATTACCCCAATCTCTTTGCCACATAATGTCTGACCATGGGGCAGGGAGCTGGCACTCAAGCAGAACACAGTAGATCCACTGAGCTTGGAGGGACAGACCAGATTGTGGGTCTCGTGAAACAGATGAAATCTGCAAAGCTGGGCACAGGAAGATGAGGTGCTGCACTAGAAGGGAGTAAAAGTCTTCTTGGGATTCCCTGAGAGCCCGTTACCATGGGCTAGGCGATGCATGCTCAAGGCAGGATTGCATAAATCTTACTGGAAAATGGTAAAAAAGGAACACAGATTTGAGAGGTTGCGCAGTGCTGGAAGTCACTGAAGTTCCAGCCCCTCCAGGATAGAGATTTCTACAACATTCCAGGCCTCCAGCTAAGAAAACAGAAAGGCTACAACTTAGGTATAAAAGTCATGCTCTGAGTAAGGCCTATTCCAGTCCCATCAAAATAAACCTGATACTAAACAGCCATAATATTAGCAGAGGAAGCTGTACATAGTGGTGCACGCCTGTAAACCCAGCACTTAAGGAGGCTAAAAGGAGAATCGCAAGGGTGAGCCCCGCCTGGGCAACTTAATGGGACCATGACTCAAAATAAAAAAGGTCTGGGGGTAACTCAGGGTGAAGGCTCAGGATTCAACCCCTAGTACCAAAAAAAAAAAAAAAAAAAAAAAAAAGCACCAAAGAATAAAGAGCTTACAAGTTAAGTGCAATTCAGTTAAAGGAATTTCAAGAACTTGAGCTTTCTTTCCATAGACCTGTCCTAAGATAATTAATCCAAATTAATCCTATATCTCCTTAAGGTGATTAGTAAGTAACTGAGCTACCTGCAGGGGAACAAAAAAAAATCAATATTCTTCAAAAAAAGATAACAAAAATCTAGAGTTTGTACCATGTAACATCCACAATGTTGAGTACATAATAAAAAAAACTAGTAGCTATGAAAAGAAATAGGAAAATGTGCCCCATTAAGAAAAAAGCAGCCAACAGAAACTGGCCAAGATGAACCAAATGCTGGAGATAATAAAGAAGCACTTTTAAAGCAGCTATTATACATTTTTGAAGAATATATATATCTATCTATACCTGTATCTGTATCTATATCTGTATCTCTATCTACATATTGGAAATCAGTGTGGAGATTCCACAAAAAACTAGGATTGGAGGTCCCATTTGACCCAGCTATTCCCCTGCTGGGTATCTTCCCAGAAGAATTAAAAACATCTCTTAGTTCATTGAAAAGAAAGGTTTGTGCTAATATTGTTTGGGCAATCAAATGCTTATATCTTGTACTCTGAGTAACTACAGATAACAACACGCAATGTATTAACCATCGTTACCCTCCTATTATCTTGTTTTGAAATTTTGTTTTACTTTTGTCTCTTTAAAATAAAAATAAAAAATAAAAAAAGAGTTAGGTATGACAGATTTTTAAGCCATCAGACAGAACATTTAAAATAACTATACCTTATATGTTAAATGAGTTAAGGGAAAGACAATAGGTAAAACTAGAAAGTATTTCACCAGGGACATGGCAATTGTAAGAATCAAATAAAGAAGCTAGAAATTAAAATAGTAACAGGTTAAGAATGCTTCTGATGGGCTCTCTGACACAGTGCAGTGAGGAAATAACTTGAAGACACATTAATAGAAATTACTCAACTGGAAGGCCAGCCTGTACTACATAGCAAGACTCTGTCTCAAAAAATAAATAAAAATAAAGAATCACTCAAATGGGACTGACAAGAAATAAAAGTTTAAAAAAATCAAAATAAAACAGAACAGAGCATTCAAGAATGATTAGGGCTCTATCAAATGGATTAACAAGCACATATTTGGAATCTTAGAAGAAGAGAGAGAGACAAGGCAAAAGAAATATTTCACAAAGTAACAGTTTTCTAAAACTCATGACAGATACTAAACCTCAGGTACAAAAAGCTCTGAGAATATCAAGCAGGAAAATACCAGAAACATGTTACTTAGACATGGTCATCTTCAAACTGCTAAAAACAAAAAGTAAAGAGAAAATCCTAACAGCAGTCAAATCGAAGAGAAACATTAGAGAGGAAGAAAAGCAGGAATTATATAGGCTTTTCATCAGAAACCACAGCAGTGAAAGGATGACATTTAGACAGGAAGAAGGGGACAAAAGAAAAAAACTGTCAACAAAGCCTTCTGTACCCACTGAAAATATTGTTCAAAGATGAAGGAGAAACAAAATCTTTCTTTATCTAAACAAAAATTAAAGAATTTGTTGCTGGCAGATTATAAGAATACTAAATGAGGTCATTTTGGCAGAAACAAATATGGTATTAGGCTGAAAATCAGATGCCCACAATGAAGTGAAGAAAGTTGGAAATAGAACAAATGAAAGCAAAAGAAACATTCTTTCTTTATTTTTATTTCTTTAAAAAATAACTAAAGCAAACATTAATAGCAACATATTTTACATTTCTAACACATGTATAAGTAAATTGCATGACCGCAAAAGATGAAAGACTGCAACTGAAAATATATTATGATATTTGAAAACAGACTCAGATTATTTAAATACATACATTGCAAAGAAAGGGTAAACATTCATAATATTGAGACTCTGCCTCAAAAACACCAAAACAAAAAACAAACGAGCAAAAAAATCCTGGCACTTTATAAAGAAACGAGCTCAAGATCTTGGCGGCTACAGGGTCCAGGCAGCACGGGGCCAGGGTAGCGGCATCACGGAGTGGTGGTGAGGGAACTGCCCAAGTGTAGAAGGGGCACACGTGCAAGAGATTAGGCTTACTGTTCTCAGAACAACACTCTCTTGCAGGAACTAATGCATCCCTGAGACCAGACCCAGACCTCTTCCACTTCTGAGAGATGGAATTAATCATCCACGAGGAGAAGCCTCCATGATCGAATTGCCTTTGTTTAGCCCCAATTCTTAAAGGCTGCATCAATATTCACACACTGGGGACCAAGCTCATAATATATGAACCTTTGGAGAACAAACCATACCCAAATCATAGCATGTTGTTATATTAAAGTAGACTTCAGAACAATGAAAAGGACTAGGATATTATGTAATGACAGAGGAGGCGATTCTCCTTTGTATGAGATAAGTAATTAATTTGGTCCATTTGTTACAGAAGTGGAAGTCATACATTTTCATGAACTCACACATTTAAAGGATATGTATGTGAGTTTAATAAGTGGCTGCTTCATTTCTACAGCTGTCAGAAAAGTTCCACCTTCCAAATTTATTGGAGATGAAGAAAGGATTAAAAAGGAGAAGTGGAGATAATCTTCACAGGTTCTGTACCTGCACTACGTTTCGCAAATAAGGAAATAGGGTTCTCTGGCTCCAGAGCTTCAGCAAATTGCCCAGCTCCTACTCTTTTGGCTTTGCTGGTGGTTCCCAAACTGTGTTCCCCAGAAGCATTTGAGGGGTCACTTTGGTGGGTGTGGGCCATATTCACATAGGGCCACAGTGGGGAGCAGACTCAGCTCTTTCAGATATCCAGATTCTATAAACTATTTCATTTGGAAAGGGGGTTCTGAAAGTGACTGTCCTTGTTGTAGTGCCCCTGTGCAGACATGTAAAGGTTTTTGTTTTTGTTTGCAGTGGTGGGGATCAAACTCAAGGCCTCAAGCATATGAAGCAGGTGCTCTTCTATTGGGCTATACCCCCAACCCTAAATATTTTTTTAAAGTACAATCAATCATCTAAAATGCAGGTTTTGAAAACTTCAGCAATGAAAAATGAAATAACTGTTTTTCTCAAGAAGTAAAATTCAAGTCTCCTGTTTTCTGGAGCAATCATCCTTCCAGCTGCCGACACAGGTTGCAACATAAATGCCTTGCACAAACCCTTTACCGTCACAGAATACAGGTTCCAGGCAGAATCAATGGTGGTTGATATTGAACACTAACTAGACAGACACCTTTTCAGTTTAATGTTTAATATATAGAGAGGTAATTGTACTCACAAGGAGGCCTGAAACATCAGAATACTTCTTAGCTGGTTTAAAGGATGGAGGGGCATCAATACTGAAGTCTGTGAAAAAGAGAAAAAAGATGACTAAACTAGCCTTAAGACATTCTAACTCCTTTTCTTTCTTTCTAAAATAACATTTGATAATATTCCTGAAATGTTCCTCTTTGCTTATTTACTCATAGAATTCCCTGTGGGTTAACCAGAGAAGTAAATGAGGAGTCTTAGAGAAATAGTACAGTATGTCATAGACCAAGTGCTAGCTCTGGATCTAGCCCTGCCCTGTCACCAGGGACTCTATTCTAGCAAACTGCCGGAAAGCGCATCTGCCCACAAGCTACTTTTACAGTTTTAGGCTGCATGGGTTGATGGTGACGAAACGCCAAACAACCCAACGACTGGATCTGAGCACTCAGACTCCTGCACATCCACACCCTATTGACTGACTAACTTACGTGACACCCATCTGAGTCACCTCCGTGAAAGATGCACAGCAGGGCAGGGATCTTTGAACCTGTACTCCCCAGTGACGTTGAACAGAACACCTAACAGTGTTGTAGATAGATTTAGACATCCTGAATCAGAAAATGTTTACTCTGAAAGGTACTGGCCAGAAAGCAAAAGCACTGGCCTTTCAGCTGGTCACGGGAAGCCCTCATAAATCTGGCATTAGACTTGGGCTACTTGGTTTCTGGAATGAAATTTTAAGAATTGGCTTTTTTTTTTTTTAAACTGGGAATTGAACTCAGGACCTTACATTTGCCAGGCAGGTGCTTATGCCACTGAGCTATATCCTCAGCCCAAGAACAGGTTTTTGAATAAGAAGTTTTTCTAATAAAACCATCAATATGAGCATATCAGAACCTGTTTCTCCTGAATGAAATTTCAGTGACACTAAAAATCACACACCCATGACGACGCAAACAGAGTTAACACAGATAATGGTTAAGAGGAAATAAACACCTAATATCCCTTGATTGAGCCCACTATAAAATTTTCAGGCTGAAAACTTCTTTCCTACAATAATATGAACCCAATAAAATTACGTAGGTTTGTTATGAGAAAGTTACTAGTCTAAGCATTATAAACAAGGGAAGGCTCTAAACAGCTCACAGTTAGGATCGTTCAGTTGCCAAGGCAATGCCCTTTCAGCAGCGAGAATCTGTTTCAGGTTCTTCCAGGTTCTGTTCTTCTTGCCAGCTACTGCACCACCATGGCCAGAGTGCTCAAATTAAAAACATGGATTAGAAGAAACAAAAATCAATAGATACTACCATTTGAGAATCTGACATTTACACTTAATCCTGTTACGGACTGCTCATTCTATCAGCCATGATATGTACCCGAGACCTTTTTAAAAAAAGTATTTCACTGTACACTTTTAATCTTTGTTTTTTGTTTTTTTAAAAAGGCGGCTTTGGACTGTCAAAATCCATGTGTTAGTGGTGATGGAATAGAAATGAAAGGCTATTTCACGTGCTCAGAGAAAATTAAATCCTTTATTAGATCTAACTTTGTAGAATTCTCTTGTAACTTCATCATTTTAAAATAAATTTACTACAAAGTTAGATTTAACCTCATGACTGCAGCTCTAAATCCCTTCTGAGGGCAAGTCTCTCCCTAGTAAATTACTAATGATCCACAAGAACTCAAGTGAGTTTCAATCATGGCATGGCAAGCCTTCTGGAAATCTGTTTTTCTTCATTTTTGTGCTATGAAGATTATATAATAAAATGGAGAAGACTACAAAATATTTGCAGACACTGGTTAACCCTGTACTTCCAAAACTCATTCATAAAAAAAATAAGTTTTTCATCGCATAATCTGAATCATGATAATTTATTATATCCTTCAAAAATGAAAGGGAGGCTGGGCATGGTGGTGCCTGCCTGTAATCCCAGTACTTGGGAGGCAGCAGGATCATTGAGAGTTCAAGGCCAGCTTGGGCTACAAAGTGAGCTCAAGGCCAGTCTGAACTGCATAGGGAAACCCTGCCTCAAAAAGACAAAAAAAAAAGTCAAAGGAAAAGTATCCTGTTTCTACTTCACAGCACCATAATTCAGATTTACTTAAGAAAACTAATAAGAAGCACTCTTAAATATTTCAAGCCTCATCTAAACTTACATAAAGCCAATACAAAGGGAAGGAGAACAATCACTGTGGAAATGACCCACCCTCAAAACACTATCCTTTCATAAGTTCCACAAAGGGCACCAGTCCTCGGAGTATGGACCTTGGGAAATGAGCAAGAAGGGATTTTCTTCTCCTGTCCCCTCCTTCCCAACACAGCTCTTGGGAGAAGGTGGCAACTTGAACAGAGGGAGAAGAGGTCACCAGAGCCACCACAGCCTCAGTCCCAGCATACTCAGAGGACAAAGTGTTTGCTTCTTTTATTTATAGAATACTTTAGATGCTTACCACAAAGTTGGGATCCTTAAATGGCAAAGGTTTGGCAGCTTTTTCCACAGGTCCTGTGCTAAACTCAGAGGACACCACTTTATTCTCACTCATGGTTTCCATGCTGACACCCTTAAAACAGTAAGAATAGTTTGAGGTCAACTTCTGGATTCCCCACTTCGGCTCTTAAAAAAACAGGACATGCAAGGGAAGACCATGAGGCCAAAGTTGCAGCAGGTAGCAGGTCCCAGATGAGGCTCTGCCAGCTGAGGAGCCACTGCTCTGAAGAGTGGCCAGAAGAGACAGGCAGGGCCACGGCTGCCACGGTTCCCGGCTGCCACGGTTCCCAGCTGCCATGGCTCCTGGCTGCCACGGTTCCCGGGTGCCCCTTGTGCTGTGCTCAGGGATGGCTCTCCTACATGAGCTGGCTCATTTAATCCTCAAAGCTCCTACAAAGAAGGTGCTGTTGTCCCCACCTTATAAAAGGAAAACAGAGACTCAAGGTGATAGGTTCAAGGCCACAAAGTACTTGGCCTTAAATTCAGGCCCAGGTCAGAACGATTCTAACCCATTTCCATCACACCACACCATCCCTACTCCTGCTGATCTTGTTAACCATGCCTTAAAAATTAAGGCCAAAAGATCTGGTCCTGAAGCTCTAGTCAGCCAGAGAACGCAGGTTGCCGCTGGAATGTGAAGGGCACAACAGGACAAGGGCATTCTGAGAAAGGAAAACGGAGAGGAAGCTAGAGGGCCACAGGTCAGCTGGCTGCAGAGAGTGCCCTGACAAGCAGGCTGAGATGCTTTAAAAACTTTTAAGTTAACACTCCCAAAGAAGCAGGCCAAAATAAGAAGTAACTTCTGATTCCTAATACAGTTCTAATCTTCCCAGGCTACTTTTTAAAACACTGAGATACAATTTATATATAGTAAATGTTTCCACTACTGGAATCCAAATCTCTGACCAAGATACAGAACAATCCACCAGAGTTCCCGGAGAGTTCGCTCATGCCCCTTCTTGGTCAATATGTTCAGGCCACAGGGGCAGCCACTGCGTTGATTTCTACCCCATCTGTCTGTTCTAGAACCTCATATAAATAGAATCTGACATCATGCAGTCTTTACCTTCTTTAGCTCAGTGTAAAGATATATCAACGTTGTTACATCCATCAGTAGTTTGTTTCACTGTATTTTCCTACTATTCAGTGGAGTCGAGTTCTACTATATTTATATGCTACAAGTCACCCATTTTCCTGTTGATGAATACTTCATTTGTTTTCAGGGTACAGCTAAATAAAGCTGCCGTGATGTGTTTTTATTTCTCTTGGGTGAACACCCAGGAGCAGAGTGATGACATTATTAGGTGAATGTACGTTTAATTTTACAAGGAGATTGTGTGTCTGGTGTACACATGTGCACTCCCCCATCCCTGCCATGGGATCTATGGTGGGGGGCATTAACTGTGCTGCAACTGTTCTTGGAAAGGGCTTGTCAAACACGGTCCCAGGCTCCTCTGCAGGATGTCACCACATAGGCCTGGGCTCTAGCAAAAAATCTAGAACCTGTGTTACCACTCCTCTGACCACACGGCCACCTCCGTCTGTGCGGCCTCCCCCGTCAGCCTCCTTCAATCCACAGTCTTTCCTGTCATCATATAAAACCCGTGCTTACACTGGAACTGTTCTTTTAAGAGGTAGTAGTCCAGGTGCAAAGAAGACAGACCAGGCCACTGACCAAAAGGGGCACGAGGAGCAGGTCTGAGAAGATTTGCCAGTGTGAGAAGGAAGGACACTGTTATGGTTTGTGTCTAGATACCCCCTCCCAAAACTTTACGTACTTTTCGATGAGGCTTTTTCAGAGATGGCTGAATCTACAGTTTGTGAGTGATTCATGGTTCAACGCTGGGATTAAGAGTGCTTGGATTAAAGGTGGGTGATTGCTTCATCAGTCCACTGATTGGACTGGAACCACCCTAATCTCAGCATTCTGGATAAAAAGGGACAGAAAGAGGCTTGTTTCTGTCTTCCTCTCCTGTTGCTTTTGCTGTCTTCCACCATGAATGATTGCCCCTGAGCCATGCCAGCTAATTACAAACTGAAACCTCCTCGAACTGTGAGCTAAGTAAATCTTTTCCCCTTTAACTTTGGGTGTCAGATATTTTGTCTCAGCAATGACAGAAAAGTAACTAAGACAGAGACCATTCTCCCAAGGAGCCTAACCGTAAGAGTGCACCAGAAGACCACCCAGCAGGAAACAGATCAATGCCCACAAATTACCACTACAACATCATTCAGATGCCAGCTTCATTCTTCCTTCAGAGGCCAGGGTCACTGGGTGGTGGTCGGGTGGGTAGAATATATCACAACTCTAAGAACTCTAATATGAAGTGGGCATCATAGTAGAAAAGGAAAAAACAGTCAGCTAGAGAAAATCCAAAGTTTAATCCAGGGAAAACAGGCTGAATGTGGACGAGATTTCCTGGGACCAGAGACACTTCATCTTTGTTGTCTGAGTTTCCACAAAGAATATGACTACTGATACAACACTGCTGCAATCTGGCAGAAACAAAGTACAGTGCTACAGAAGCAACAAGAAGGTTCTAAAGGAAAATAAAATCCAAGCCTCAAGGCCTGGGACAGTGATGACAGGTACACCCCCGGAGTGCGCTCAGGTCCTAGGGCCCCATCTTCAGGGAGTACAGTTAGCTTTTGTTTCTACTCTAAAATGCTGTAAGACTGCACTTCTCCCTTTCTGTTTATTTCTCTCCCGTGATTGTTACTGTGGAAGCACAAAGGTGTTGAGTACCGGTGAAAAGAAAGGGATGCTGGGGATTCTACTGACGCAGCTGTTTTGTCCCTAGGCCCCAGGGAGAACAGTGTCAGACGGCGGTCTCTGACTGAGATTCAGGCAAGTGAGCTTCTCAGAGGCCACTATGAAAAGTGGTACCGCAGCAAGTCAGCACTGGCTGAATAATCTGGAAGTTCTGCCAGGGGAGAGGCGCACACCAGACACAGCTGCTGACAGCAAGGGGAGGATGGCAAGCAGAGAGAGAGCCAGAAGTCAGCCGTGCCAGGCAGTCAGCTAAAGAGTCGAGAAGGGGATGAAAATGACGCACAGGAGCATGGGTTTTGTTTTAAATAGATCTCCAAGCTGAAGAGCTCACACCACCCTCTGCTCTGCTCTTTCCAGCAGGCCAGGCACCCAGGGAAGTCAAGAGACCCCAGAAGAGAAACCACCCTGACTCCTCGAAAGGCTCCTGTCTGAATGGAGGGCTCTTGCTTCTCAAATCAGATACACTCCTGCACAAGGCCCAGAACGGGTTTTCTTTCCATCTTTCCTCCTCAACCCCACTCCCACACTCCTGTGACTCCACCTTGGTCCTCCCTTCCCTTCGGCTTCAGTCCAGCTGTGACTCCTGTCTCCTAATGACAGGATGAAAGGGAGAAACCCTTAGTCAAAGGGAAGGTCAAGTTATAAAGCTCATATGCAATGAAATAAAATTTAAAATGATGTATAGTTTCCATATTACGAAAGCATTATTAACACTAAGAGACTTTTACGAGATGAACTGTTCGGCCTCAAGTCATGAATGCCCTAAGGAGAGGAGAGGAAGTAACGCCTAGACTAAGGCTGTGATTTTGGTGGTACCAGGGAGCACTAAGCTACATGCCCAGCCCTTTCTATTTTTTCATGGTGACACAGGGTCTTGATAAGTTGCCCAGGTTGGCCCAGAACTAGCAATCTGCCTACCTCAGCCTGAGATTGCAGGCATCACCACACCCGGCCTGGCCTGCTATTAAAGAAGCACATGCCCGTAGCCAACAGACTGGAGTCAGCAAGCCTGGGGTCTCCGTCTATCTGGTCAACTGTAGAGCACAAATAAATGGTGTAGTCTCTCCAGACAGCAGCTTGCATGACTCAGACTCAGACTTCAGGATAACTTAGGCCTTCTGTCTGTGGTTACAAAGCAAGGAAGCAAATGTCTTTTGTCTTGTCCCTGAAAAATTAAACACCAGCTATATCTGTCTAAAAGTTGGCTCTAGTTTAAAACTAGAGATAGGAGGGTTACTTAAACTGGCAAAAAGCCAGGCATGGTGGCACACACCTGTAATCCCAGCATTTGGGAGGCAGAGGCAAGAGGATCATTGCAAGTTAGAGGCCAGCCTGGGATAACTAGTGAGTTCAGGAACAGCCCGAACTACATAGTGAGACCCTGTCTCAAAAAAACAAACAAACAACCCCCTTGCCCCCCGCCGCAAAATACAAACACCCTTTCCCAAAAAAGCTGGAATAAATAAGAGCACCTAAATCCTTGGAATATAATGAAGTAATTATTCCTAAAAAGCTTCTTAGACTTTGTAAAATCTAATTGAGAAGACTACCAACACAGAACAAGGTTCCTAAAATGATGTTAAGTAAAAAACAGGTAAACAATGTTATATCTACCTGTAGAAAGAATAACATGAGCAAGATTACTCTTTTGGTGGTGGTGGTGGTACTGGTGATTAAGCTCAGGACCTTCACACTATGCTACAATTCCCAGTCTTTTTTATTATATTTTATTTAAGTCACTAAATTGCCCTTGAATTTGAACTTGAACTTTCAATCCTCCTGCCTCAGCCTTCTAGAGAGCTGGGACTAAAGGTGTGCACCACCACGTCTGACTCCACCATGACTTCTTTTGAAAGTTAGGTCAGAATGATTACTTTTTACGTGGGCAAATCAAATCAGTCTGGCACTCTCTGGTGGCCTCCGATTACTCATCATCTCTGTGGCCCTCGTGTCTGCCGTGTGCATTACTCTTCCAAAGAAGCAACTACTGCCTCTCAGCATCAGGTACTTTGCTAACTATTTATTAGCCATCACAAGTCAAAAGTTTATTAAGTAATGGTCAGTCTATAAGTCAATTAGGTTTCTCAGAAACATTTAATAACTAGGACAGGCATTTGAAAAGCCTTAAATGCCCTATATGGAGCCAGTAAAATTCCCTTACAAACCAGTTCCCTCCAACACATTTGGTTATACCAAAAATCTAATCACAGCTTCCAACATAGAGAGTGATACCATTAAAAACAAAAAGAATGTGGAGTTTAGACAGCCTTCTTGGGTTGAATCTTAACTCTTGCTTATTAGCTGTGTGACCTCAGGCAAATTACTCAGTCTTTTGTTTTTTGGTTTTTTTTGTAGACAGGGTCTTGCTGTGTAGTTTAGGCTGGACTTGAACTCACTATGTAGCCCAGGCTGGCCTCAAACTCACAGCAATCGTCCTGCCTCAACCTCCCAAGTACTGGGATTATAGTCATGTGTGATCATGCCCCATGAGACAGTCTTTAGAAAATGCTTAGAACAGTGTCTAGCACAAAGTAAATGTTCAAGAAATATTAATTACCATTATTTACCTTGTCTTTCACCTTAGCACTTATCTGTTCTGCAAACTCACCAATTTAATATTAATCCTTTTCAAAGTATCATAACCAGAATGAATGGAAGGTAGCACTTTCATAATGGTATTAACCAATAACTCCATTAGTTACACCTGAAAATGTAAATCCAAACAGAATTACAGTTCTAAGGAATTTATGGATATAAGCAGACACAAACAGCACTTTCTGCTGCACTAAAGATCTTGATGGAGTAATAAAGCAAAATTATTGTATTGAAACCACATCCTAGGATTGATCTATGGTGACTTCCATCAGTGCTTTACTCTGAGTACTTTTAGAACAAAAATATTTCCTCCAAATCCTGAGGGCTCCTAGGCACTTAAGTATGCACTAAATTTTACTTTAGAAACTGCATGTACATTTCTGGAAAGTAAAACTCACCTTAAGAATCCATGATATCAAGTTATTTTATTTTATTTTATTTATTTTTTAAGGATATCAAGTTATTTTAAATAAACTCTAAAAATATTCTAATACCATCTTATGTAAATGTCCTTTGTAATTTTTTAAATCCCATCAAAGTTTTACATATTTTGTTATTAAGAAACCCAAGAGGTATAATTATTAAAGCAGGGAAACTTAGGTGCTGAAAAAAATCCTTCTAACTCAAGAAATACAATCATTTATATAAAAACACTCACTTTCATGCTGATAAAACCTTGGGCAACCAGAGGAAATCTAACATGCAGAAATCTGAGTCTGGAACACCTTCTCTATTTAAATCCACCATCTTCAAAGTCAACCTCAAGTCCCTCTGCCTCCCCACCTTCTCCTCCTTATAACTATCACTGCCCAAGGTCATCTTTTCCTGTCCTGCTACAATACGGTACCAACATGGGGGAGCATCCATGCTCCCCTTTGGCTCAAGGTTGGAAATTACCTTATCATTCCAGTTGTTTCATATGTTATACATACGATCATAGCAAAATTCCAGCATATCTCCCCCACGTACATATACCTCCCAGTCATTCAAACAAACATTCATCTAGGACTGCTGTGAAAGGATTTTGCAGTATCATTAAGGTCTAAATCAGCTGACTTTAAATAAAGGCGATTACCCAAGTGGGCCTCCTCTAATCACATAAATCTTTTAAGTCTAAATCCAGTACTCAGAGATAAGAGAAGCCAGAGATATTTGATGTGTGAGAGGGATTGGACACAGGGAGATTCTCTATAGTTGGCTGGGAGATGGAAGAGACCATGTGACAAGGAATGCTGGCAATACAAGGAGATAGGGACCCACAATCTCTAGAGAATTGAATTCTGTTAACAATCTGAATGAGCCTAGATACAATTTTTGCCCAGATCCTTTAGATAAGAACTCAGCTAGTTGATTCTTTTATTTATTTTTTTTTTTTTTTGAGACAGGATCTTGCTATGCAGTTCAGGCTGGCCTCAAACTCATGGCAATCCTCTTGCCTCAGCCTCCCAAGTGCTGGGACTGTAAGGCGTGCACCACCATGCCTAATTAACTAATTCCAGTTGATTAGTGATTTTAGTTTTGTGATACATGAAGAAGAGAACTAACAGTCTATCTTATGCCAGGACTTCTAACCTACAGAACATGTGCTAATAAATGTGTATTATTTAAGCCACTAAGATTGTAGTAGTTTATTAACAGCAACAATAGAAAACTAATCCAATATGTATCTGTCATTCTCTCTTCTTGGGAGATTTCTGAGAGTGTGGCACAAGCTATAATCTTTTGAAATGTCTTAGGCAAACTGCTCGGGGCATAACTGAAATATAGTACTATACCATAAATTCTTGCTGCTTGAACTGAACTGAAAAAAACAGAAACGCTGCACAGCTTAGGGTCACTACAGGAAAATTCCAGGCAGCTCTCAAGGGAGAGTACTGTGTTAATAGCTGCATATGCTACGGATCAGGGAACCAGAGCAGGAGAAAAATCTAGAATTTATTTCCACAGACAGAAGCCAAGTTTTGTTTCTTCCTCACGGGATGCTAAGGGTGGAAATGGGGTAACTGGTTACTATATCTCCTTAAACACTAGCTAGGAAGAGAAGAGGCAAGACAAAAGAATTCACTATGCCAGGAAATGCCTCACTCTTTCCAGCCTCTCCTAAAGGGGCCGTTAAAACAGAGGTGCTCAAGGGATGTCTAGTATCTCCTCAGTGAGAGTCCTGAGGCCACCACAACTGAAATTGCTACCAGAATTGAAATTTTTACCACATTGGGTTATTGGAAATTTCCAGCATCCTGAAGTCATTTGGTCACTTGCTGGAGCTTTGTTGTGATGGGAGTAGATCAATGCGATCCTATCCCACATGGCCAATGAAAGGGTCAAAAGAATAATTTCTCCTAAAATGTACTAATGTTATTTGATCTTGGCACAAGTGAGTATCAAAACACATCATGGACATACTCGGACTGAGTACCCACAATCTATCTGACAAAGGACTCCAATCAAGCATATAAACCAGGCATGGGGGTGCATGCCTGTAATCCCAGCACTCATGATGTCGAAGGAGGAGGATCGCTGTGAGGTCGAGGCCAGTAGGGGCTATATAATGAGTTCAAGGCCAGCCTGAACTACACAGCAAGACCCTATCTCAACAACAAAAAAAAAAGAAAGAAAGAAAGAAAGAAAAAAAAGAATATATGAGAAACTCATACTTCTCAATTTTTTGAAAGTTAGAGAAATAATCAGGCAGTTCACAATAGATATTGGAATGGCCAATAGCAGAGGAAAAGGTGGTTGGTATCAGCCATCACAGAAACATAACTCAAACACTGAGTTACCACTAGCTATTCAACAGAATGGCTAAAATCTCAAGACTGGCAATGCTAAGTATTTTTTAAAGATGTAGAACTGGAATTCTTGTATTTTGCCGGTGAGAATGCAAAATTGTGAAACTATATTGGGAAATATCATTTAACAGCTTCTTAGTTAAGTGTGTGTCTATCTTCTGATCCAGCAATTCCACTAAAAATCAAAAGAAAGGAAGGCATAAATCTACACAAAGCTAGTTTGAACAAAAGTGTTCGTAGCAGCTTATGTATAGAAGCCAAAACCTGAACCAGGCACGGTGGCACATGCCTGTAATCCCAGAACTGGGGTGATTCAGGCAGGAGCATTGCTGGGAGTTCAAGGCCAGCCTGCACTACATAGTGAGACCCCGTCTCAACAAAAAACAAAACAAAACAAAACAAAATGCCCAAACCCGTAAGCTACTCAAATATCCATCAACTGTTTATACAACATTTCAGTAAAGGATGATTTTCAAAAATATGATTTCCCAAAGGAACCCAGAAGGCCACAGAAGAAAATATGTTCCATACAATCCCATTTATATTATGTTTGAGAACAAAACAATAGCAGAGTAGCAGTCATCTCTGGTAGGGGCAGAAGAAACCGCAAGGAGTCAACAGGTAATTTACTGGGTTTCCTAGGTCTTTTTTTTTTTTTTTTTTTTTTTTTTTTTTTTTTT